TCGGCTTTCGAAAAGTCCTTGTCGCTTAGGGGGTGGGAGGGGGCGGGCGCCGATTCGCGTCCGTCACAGTCGCGTTTCGCAATTTCGTTGATCTCTGCGGCAGTGTATCGCGGCGATCCGGTCGTTTCCGCGAACGGCTGTCCGTAATTCACGCGAAATATCGACAGGACGGCTCAATTCCCCGAAAAACCTGGTCGCGCCAGGGGTGAAACCGGAAGGCGACGTTGAAACGCGCTCGTTCGACCGATAATCGGCGCCCGCGCGCGCAATAATTGGCGAATTGGCGTTAATCGAACGGTGTTTACGGGCCGCACGCTAATTTCAGAATAAAGATTATCCTGATAATCGGCTGCGGCAACGAGACACTCGGTCCTCGATTGTTAACTTACTTTTTCGCCTCGTTCGTTTCGTCCCCTTAATACCAACTTTTTCTATGTTTACCCGCTCTGAGCGGGTATTTCATTCTATAGCATTCGAGTTGGTGTTGGTTTCTACTTTTCTTAGGATTGCAAAAAGTTCCGTTATACTTTTTGTATTTCACACTTAATATTAAAGTTTAATTTATTACTTAACGTAGTTAATTAATTCTTACGATGAACTCTTATGCACGAACGAAAGAAAACACTGTTGACGTTGTAGTACAGAATCATTGTATTGATGTTAAAGTTCACGCGGATATGCAGAGTGAAGAATTTAAAACAGGTCGCCTGAATATCTCGATTGTTATTGGTGATGGTAAAAAGTCAGTATTTCTTTCCGTAATTTTTCTGACCTTTCACATGACGTGTTGCAGAAAATGTCTCTTTATTAATAATTCGTCAGCAGACATATCGACTGATTGGAAAATTGAAAAATACGTAATTTTATTAAATATTCTAAAACAAATTTGATCTTCACACAATATGACCGCCACTTACGAAGAAACAAATAATTTCAAAACACAGTCCGACACATTTTTCACTACGAGCAATAGTAATTATGTGAATCAGATATGTATTTTATTTTTTAATTCATTCACCCAAAAAAAAAAAAAAGAAAAAAATGAAAACGTGTCTTTCATTCTTCTTCATGGCTTGTCACTAGCCATTCTCCTCTGACAATCAGTATCAACGACGTCGTGGCTACCTTGGTCAATCGTGCGTCATGAGTTACGTACACTTTGGAAACAGTCGCAATTTTTCACCCTTTTGCAAGCGGCCCCAATAAAAACTGTGGTCGAACCCCGCGTCGGTGGCAGGTTGACAAAGGCTTTTGTGAACGTGATCCTTTAAGCGGCCGCATTGTTGACTTTCGTAGACGAGCTTGATCGACCCGCCGCGTAATCAGTCTGATGATAATGGATTAATTAATCACTGACACGACGACCGAGCGATTCGAGACCGATACCGAAAGTCGGCCAGCTTTGCTCTTTCAAGACCGCTGATATCTCCTCCAAATTTATCTTTCGCACCCTCGCTGATTTGATTTCGTTCTCGAATCTGAAGTTTGAAATTTTTTTGGTGGATTTCCGCGAATATTTTTTTTTTTTTTTTTT